TATCAAGTACCTGTTTTAGGGTGGCAGATGTGGTAGGCTTTCCCATGGCTGCTCACAGCCCCATTAAGTGGCAATGACAAGGCTCAAAGAGGCTGAGGTCACTCAGGACAGAAATCTGAGCCAGCTGACCTCTCTGCCTGTAGAATTCCTGCTCCTGCATGGGATTCCAGGGAAAGGGGAGTGAGGGCCAAGCTTTGCCAGAGAGCTGGCATAAGAGAGCCCTGGCTCAGTTCTGAGCCTGTCAGCAGGTTCATCCAGAGGAAAAGCAGCTTCTGCCAGTTTCCTCTCTGGTGGCAAAGCCTGTGCTTTGTGAAGAGCGTGGGCTGGGACCTCGAGGAACCTGCATGCTGGCTGGGTTTCTAGGGATCTGACAAACCTACTGGAACTGGCTCTTGGCAAGGCTCCCCCTTGAAGATGTGCCAAGAGGGCTGAAGGAGTTCAATGTGGCTTTCCAGGCCCTGCCAGGCTCTGCCAAAGAGACCCTGGCAAGGAGAGTGGCAGGCAAGGGTGAGGGAGGCCAGGCCCTGTAGCTTGAGCACAGGGTGCCTCCAGTAAGAGGATACTTGGGAAGGAAGTCTGGAAGGCTGAGCTGGAGTGAGGCTTTCTCATGGGACTCCCCAAGGCATCTTCCCTCAAAGAGTGGCTTAGATGAGAAGCCTGCACAAGGTCTCATGAAAGGCTCTACATGGCGGTGCTGGGAATGTGGGCTTAATCTCATGGCTTGATAGGTTGGGGGTAGGGGGCAGGGTCTCAGGGCAGCCTCTAAAGACTGGTGTGATCATCTCCATTTTATATAGAAAAACTGGCACCAAGCAGAGGCTGGATGGAATTACCCAAAGTTTGTGGCTCTCTGGAGAGAATTTTAGAATTCATTTCCTCAGGATCTCTCTCCTTTGACTGGCCGTAGTCACCTGTGAGCTAAGGGTGGGGAGCCGAACACATTAATGAGATTGGAGACTGTCCGGGGCTGTGTGTTCAACCTTCACTCAGTGCTCCTCAACTTCTGCTCCAAGCTCAGCACTAATTCAGATGAGAGAGGGAGGTGGTCCCTGGGAAGGGACCAGGCAGAAGTGACTGTCTTTGCATTGGCTGTGATAGAGGCCTAAGGAGAATGAAAACACTGTGGTTGTGCTAGAGGGAGGATCTGAGACAGCTCACATAGGAGAGGACATCTGAACTGTCTCCAAGGGCTAATAAGAAATTTGCACAGACCAAAGAGGAAAGAGGCCTTCAGGTAGAGTAACCTCTGCTCTAAACCCAGGCCAGGCAGCAGGAAAGCAGACATATTCAGGACGCTCAAGTGGTGGGGAAAGCTGAGGTGAAAAGGGTATGTGCATGAGCTGGAAGGTGGGCACGGAAGGTGCAATGCCAGGCTAGCGCCCTCCCTTCTTGGAGACCCTCTGCTCATGGGAAGTTACTCCTGTATGTCCTCTGTCTGCTCATTTAAGGCCCTAGCAGATGCCTCTGGTCATGATAGGCATAACTGCCCATTTCAACCCTCTGTGTGTCAGGATACCTCTTCTAGTTTATCCTGGCCCCAGTGTCCTTGGGGGATATCTGTGGCCAAAACAGAAGAGGTGAATACCTGGCAAAGCCACATGAGTGAAGTGTGAGGTGGGTGTGGTGGGGACTGCAGAGGATGAGCAAGTACACAGACTATCAAAGGGCACAGATGTCATTGAACTCTGCCAGTGTTGCTATTGGGAATTTGGGCCTGGTGTCACCAGATCTGTGGATTTTTCAAAAGAAGCTGGGGATCCAGATTTTTATATGAAATCTCTTTAATTAACCTCTATTAATTAAATAACTAATTTGACAATGTTTCAAACACCATAATAGCTAAACAAGAGCATCTTGGATTCATATGGCCCATTGTTGAGCATAGGTGATTGAGCCCTGAGTGAAACAAGAGGGAGCAGTGGCTCAGTGTATCCAGGACCAGCCTAGGCCACTCTTGGGCTTGTCAGAGAGGCCTGGACATTGTTAGTGGTGGACCCTGGGGACTCCTTGTGCAAGCTTCTCATGCCAGAGGCAGCCACCACGCCAGTTTGTGGCAGCATCAGCCCCTGTGCTCAGGGCTGTTGACAGGTCCCTCTCCCCCTCTGGTCCCATCCCCGTGGGCAGAGGCAGCTGGTCTCTCTCACCAAGTCCCAGAAGGCTTGTAGCTTTTCCTTTCTTGTCAGTACTGTAGTCTCTACTGCCTGTTGCCCAATGACTGCATCTTTAGGAATTAACTGCTAGTAAGGAAAGACCAAAGAAACACAGGAACTAGGCTGTGGGTGGATAGTATCACACAGGTGTCCATGCACCAGCATTCTGAAGAGCAGCACTGTGGCCTAGAACATTTTCTGAACCTGGAACCAGATTGTACGGGTCTGAACCTTGACTCTGCCACATGCTGAGTGAACTTGGGCGTGTCCTTAAACTCCTGTCTCTCAGTTTATTGATCTGAAATATCAGGATGGTGACGATGATGGTGATGATGGCGATGATAATAGTGGTAATAGTCCCTAAGTTATCAAGCTGTGTGAAGATTAAGTGTATTGATATATGTAAAGTGCTTAGAACAGCACCTGCTACCAGAAGTGCCGTATGTTAGCTATTTTCAGCACTTTTCTCATACACACAAGCATGCGCGCATTCATGCACACACAAATGCACATATGCACACACAAGTTCACACACGTGCATGCATGTATACACACACATACTTCTTCCTAAAGCTTTGATGGCATCACTGGATGTGTTCTATGTGAGCATATTTTCTAGAAGGGTGTGTCTTCTTCCCCCAAATTCTGGGTACTTTGTCTTTGGTTGGGCAAGGTGAGAAGGTACATTCACCAAGCCCTACTCTGTGCCAGGCAGAGTAGGGACTGTTGTATCCTATTGCAAAATAGCCATTGTGCATGGGGAGCCAAGTAGGCTCCCTGATTCCTGCCATTGCTCAGCGCCAGGGAAGGGATTGAACCTCTTACCTGCTGGCTCACTATCCAGGTCTCAGGATTCCACCTGCCTAGGCTGCATCTTGCATGGACCACAGAACTGCCTGGACAGAATGGAGCTGTGACATCATGTCCCTGACACACCCCCGAGGCCGTCCTGCAGGGAAGGTCTCTGCATTGTGGAGAGGATGTCGGGCACTCCAAAGTCCTTGTAGAGCTTAGGGCTGGGAGAAGGCTGTGTCTCCTGTTACTCTCAGTGTGAGATGGAGAGCTTTATGGATCTCAACTCCTACTCTTTGCCTGAACCAGGAACTTCTTAGTCCAGTTGCATGTTTAGTTGTCGCAGGTTTTCTCAGCCAAAAGTTCCTCTACCTCTTTTTCTCTATCCTTCATTTACTTTCTTGTCCTGTATTAAATATTTGGGGTCTTTTGCTTCCTGATTTTTTTTTTCTTGCAAATATAACATCAGAAAAATGTACTAATATCACAAGTGTACCATTTAATGACTTTTCTCAAAGTGGACAGAACTGGGTAAGTAGTGCCTAGGTCTGGAATCCGAGCACTACTATTGCCTCAGAAGTCCCTCAGGCCCCTTCTGGTCACTGACTCACCGAGGTAACCACATCCTGACCTAGTTTTGCATTTTGTATAAATGGAGTCATGAAGCGCTGGATTTGGCTTCAGTTTTTTTTTTTTTTTAATGTGTTGCTTTTTCTTAAATTAAAAAAAAAATTTTGATGAAGTAGAGCTAACATAAAGCATACTATCTTAACCATTTTTAAGTGTACAATTAAGTATATTTGTAATGTGCAACCATCACCACCATCCATCTCGAGAACTCTTCCCATCTTGTAAAATTAAAACTCTGTCCTCATGAAACAATAACTCCCCATCTCCCACTGGTAACCACTGTCCTACTTTCTGTTTCTATGATTTTGATTATTCCAAGTACTTCATATCAGTGGAATCATGTAGTATTTGTCTTTTTGTGACTGGCATATTTCACTCGGTATAATGTCCTCAAGGATCATCCATGTCGTAGCAGGTGTCAGAATTTCTTTCTTTTTTAAGGCTGAATACTATTCCTTTGTATGTATACACTACATTTTGTGTATCCATTCATCGATGGATAGACATTTGGGTTGCTTAATCCTTTTGGCTATTGTGAATTATGCTGCTCTGAACATAGGTGTATCAATATATGATTAAGTCTGCTTTCATTTCTTTTGGGTTTATGTCTAGCAGTGAAATTGCTGGGTCATATGATAATTATGTTTTAAAATTTTTCAGGAACTTCCATACTGTTTTCCACAGTGGCTGCACCATTTTACATTCTTACCAACAGTGCACAAGGGTTCCAATTTCTCCACACCCTTGCCAACATTTGTTTTGTTTTTGTTTTTGTTTTTAATAGTAGCCATTCTAATGGGTGTGTGGTGGTATCTCATTGTGGTTTTGATTTGTGTTTCCTTGATGATCAGTAATGTTGAGTCATGATTATGTTTTTACACGAATCCATTATCAGTCTTGTTGCATGAGCTGTGTGCATGCAATAGTGGTAATAGTCCTTGTTCTCCTTGCTGTCTGGTGTTCCATGGTGTGAGCAGACCATGAGTGTCTGCTCATTCTACTGCTGATGGGCTTTGGATGGTTTCCCATTTGGTGAGGGAATGCAAGAAGTGTTGCTAAGAACATGCTGTCTTGGTGGACATAGTTCTGAGTTTTCAAATGTAAGCTGCTGCTCTTTGGAGGTTATTATATAAACAAATCAATAAAATGTGTAACGCATGTTCCCATTAAAGATTTCTCAGGCTTGAACAAGTTCTATAGGACAGGACAGGCCACCTGTTCTCTGTGCCCTCCTGCTCTTTGGCTCAGGTGGCCCAGAGTCCATCCACCCAGTGTGTGTCCTCTTAGTTTCTAATTTGCTCCCTCAGGAGCAGCCACCTTTGGCCTTAATAGCACCTCTGCCCTAATAGCACCTCTATCCTCCCAAACACCCACCCCCACTGCTGAACTGGATAGCTGAGGGTGTGACCAGGTCCTCTCTGTACCCAGGGATCTTTGGGCAGCGCCTGGAGGACACAGTTCACCAGGAGCGGAAATATGGCCCCCGCCTGGCCCCCCTGCTGGTGGAGCAGTGTGTGGACTTCATCCGGGAGCGTGGGCTCACCGAGGAAGGGCTCTTCCGCATGCCGGGCCAGGCCAACCTGGTGAGGGACCTGCAGGATTCCTTCGACTGTGGGGAGAAGCCACTGTTTGACAGGTGAGCTCCAGGGCAGAGGTGAAGATGGGACCACCTCCTCATTCTCCCCATGCTGGGGCTTCTCCCAGGCCACCAGCTCCTGTGGCAGGGGTGGGCCAGTGCCCAGCAAGCCTGGCAGCAGGATGGTGGGCAAGATGATTCCTCACGTTGGTGCATGTGTGCCAAACCAGCCCTCTTCAGTGGGCAGAACACAGGGCCCAAAATCACTGCAGCAGCCCTGGGTCCCCTCTCAGACAAGTCCTGCCACAGGCCAGTCACATCCATGCAGGCCTTTTCCATTGTAGATGCCCCCAAACGGGAGAAAAGAAGGGCCTATCTCTGGGTTCTGCTTTCTCAGGGTGACCAAGATGGAGCAGCAGCTGTGGTCCCACATCCTCTCAGGTTTTGGGATAGGGAGTCTCCTCCACCTATCCTGGGCCAGTACCTCTTCTAAGCCATCACTGGATTTACCAGGTCCTGGGCTCCAACCTCTGGGTGGAGCCAACCTTACTAAGAGTCCAAGGGCTAAGACATGGGGAGATGGGGTTGTTTGGGGGCCTCTTTTTGACAGGACCCTACCCATTTGAAGCAGCTTTTCATAGGTTCTTTCTGCATCAGGCCTACCCAGGCTTCCATGGAGCTTCTGCCCTTCTTATCAAATCTACTCTCACATTTGAGGCCCCCTCTGCCCAAAGTGGGCTCATGGTAGCCTTGGTCTAACCAGGTCTCCTCTCTGGGCAGAATACCTTCAGTCCCTCCAACTTCTGCCCAGACTCATTATCATAGCCAAGAGAGTCTGTCAGACAGTTTCTTTCTTTAAATGTAGAGCCTGAGACTGACCACTGTTCCCCAGAGGAAGTCTGCCCAGAAGGGCACAGGTGTCCCTTTTATCTGGAGCCTCATGAACCTCTATCCTCATACTCTGAGCTTGCCGTCCAGAATTTATAATCTCAATGAGCTTGTGGTCCATTCTGAACCATTGCCAGCCAGGCATCTTCCATCCTGTGCCTTTGTGGCCAAGGGTTAAGGTTGTTTTCTTCTGTGTTTCCCAGAAACTCACTCTTGATATTGGGGTCTGGATGCTTTCCCTTCTAGAAACTGCTCCCTGGGGTATCTGATACCATTCCTTTCCACTTTCCATCATCTCCATGGTGGTCTTCTGGCCCTGCATTTATACTCATCCCCTAATACAGGGATCCCAAGGCTTCTGTCCTCATTCACACCAAAACAGGGAGGGGTCTTGGGGCTACTCTCCTTACCTTCTTGCAGGCAGAAGCATTCCAGGGTAGTCGTACTCCCTGGGTGCAGACCACACTCTGCACTACAGGGAATCCAGCCTCAAGCCCTGGGCTCCCTCCTCCATAAAGAGCCCCATCAGCCTGAAAGCCTCAGTCACCAAAGTTATCCCTTCCCACCACCCTGGCCTGTGGGCCTTTTGCAGCTCTCCCAGCCCTGTCCACATTGTTACCACCAAGCACCGAGCATGGAGAAAGCTCTCCCTGGAGGCTTTTTTGACTCAACAGCCGTTTCTTACTTCACTCAACTTACTTTACCTATCCACTGAGTGAGAGCACCCCGCAGGTATGGAGGTGTAGCCATAAACAAGACAGATAAGGTCCTGCTCTCAAGGGGCCAGAACAGATGGCAAACAAGTAAATGCACACAGGGAACCCAGCACATGCTCCAGTTGCCATGCCAGACAAGCTTGGAGGAGGTGCCAAGACTGAGGTCCAGGACCCAATCACAGAGCCTGAACCCAGAGCCCAGGGTCACTGTTCTCCATGGGAGCCCACCTCAGCCTAGGCAGCTCTGAGCTGGGAGCTGGACACTGTGGTCTTGGACTGGACACATTGGGCATTAGGGTACTGGAAATAGAGTAAGGAGCACAGAAGCCCAGGCATTCATTGTGTGATAGGAACCCAGAGGCCAGAGGAAAGTGTCTGACCTCTGACCTACCCCACCCCTAGTGGCCAGTGCCCTGGGACCTCTTTGACATGGCGCCTCCACTTCCAGGGGGTAGGTGGGGGTTGGGAGCAAACTCTCGCTTGGGCAAGAACAGCTGTGTCCCTGGCTCCCTGCTCCTCTTCCCCGCAGGAGCTTTGCAGCTTCCAAGTCACCCTTCAGAGGATGCTGGGGCCACCAACAGGCCCACAGAAGGGAACTTCTCACTCCCACTGGTTCCCTGGCAGGCTGTCACAGGGCCCCTCCTCTGTGAGCTGGCCAGGACTATGAGTGATTCTTCCCACCTAGAGCAGCCACTCTGTGGGGAGCAACTGTGCCCTGCAGGGCCCTGTGGCTTTTGCAGCAGTGGAGAGTCCCATACTGTCTGTGAGGGAGAGACTGCCAGCCCTGAGGACTGACTCAGACCTGAGGCACAGGGCTTCTGAGCAGAGGCCTGGGCTGTGGGTTGTCTCTGAGCTGGAGCTCTAGCAGTCCCTGCCCCCTGGGGACCTCTGTGCATAGCACCTGGAAGCAGTCTGGGCCTTTCCTTGACTAGGGGCAGTGAATGCAGATAACAGTGTCCACTCCTCTGTGTCTCTCTCTTCCTTGTGCTCCCATGAGAGCAGAGGCTGCCCCTGGGGGCGGGGAGGGGCTTTGCAAGGTCCCGGTCACTCCTGCAGTTCCCGGCACCCATGCCTCAAGTGTGTCCCCCTACTGGCAGCACAACCGATGTGCACACAGTGGCCTCCCTGCTGAAGCTCTACCTGCGGGAGCTCCCTGAGCCTGTGGTCCCGTTCGCCAGATATGAGGACTTCCTCAGCTGTGCCCAGCTGCTCACCAAGGACGAGGGGGAGGTTAGTGGCTCCTGGGGACCCATCCTGGGAGGTAGGCCTACCAGGTGGAGGGGGGCAGGGCGAGCAGTGGAATCAGGACATAACTCTGACTTTCATTATTTTTTGTGGCCCTTAGATTCTGCTCTGCAGCCTGCTCTGTGTGTTTAGGGTGGAAGGGGGGTGCTGTTGTATCCTGCTATGTGGTGGGGGTGGGGGGCTGGAGCATCCCCTCTGTGTAGGGCCTTCTCTGTGTGAAGCCTTGGTCCCTGGGAGGGACAGGTACCTCCTAAATCAGTCTGTGATCTGGTCATGCCCAGATACACCACACAGTAGGCACTTCTACTCTACCACCTACCTACTCCTACACCCACCTCAAGCTACCCAGGCTGCCACAGGGTTCAGAAACAACCAGACCTTTCATCTGTTTATATCCTACCTCCTCCCCAAAGAATTTGAGACAGGACAGAGGCTCCCACCCCCACCCCGCAGGTGCCTGGCTGGGGAAGGAGTGTTTGCCCTCTCTATGGCCATGTGGGAGATGAGGGGTCTTTATCTGGCAAATATTTGTGTCTCGATAAGTGAGCTGAGCACTGGCCCTGACATTCCTCTGTGGCCCTGCAGAGGCACACCCCTCACACCAGTCCCCCAAAGTAAATCTGCCCACCTAGGAGGTCACAGGCCTGGCTCAGAAATGGCGGTGGTGGTGTCCTCTGCTCATTTGGGGCCAGGCTGAATGGCCAGGCTGAAGGTCTGGCCTCTGGTGCCTGCCACCCCCATCCCTAGACTACCTCCTTCCTCCTTGCCTACCCCCCTGACCCCTCCCTCAGTGAGAGAAAGACCAGTTGCTGGTCTCTGAAATGCTGTTTTTCTCTTTCAATACCAAGGGGACTCTGGAGTTGGCTAAACAAGTGAGCAGCCTTCCCCTGGCTAATTACAACCTGCTCAGATATATCTGCAAGTAAGTAGCTGGGGGGCTGGGTCATTCTCCCACTCCACGCTGCTCCCTGAGTGTCAATCAATCAGCCAGTGGGGAATATAAAAGAACACAATCCCTGCAAGCACATAGCTTGCAGTCACCATGAGTAAGCAGCGTTAAAGTCCTCTGTGGATCGTTCTGGGAGGAAAGCGACATACACACCCATGTCCTTTCTGCCTCCTCTGGGTGCCTCCCACTGTCCCCTCCCCCAGGGGTCTGCCTCCTGACCACGACCTCGGCTCAGGCACTGGGAGAGGGTGTGCAGGGCAGCCCTCACCCCGTCCCAGGCTGGGGTGTCTGGGCCTTCCTGGACATCTGCCCCCACTGCAGGCAGGACAGTTGTGTTTCTTTCTTCCATGCTGAGAGTGGGCCCATGGCCCACTGGCCTTTGCTTCTGCTGGCCATTCTGGATTCCAGAAGAAGCTCTGCCCTCTTCTTAGCTGGCAGGAACAGCTGGCTGTGCCCAGTGGCTATGGGAATGTGTGGGTGTGGCTGGGTGTGGGCGCCAGGCAGCTCCCAGCAGAGCTGGCATCAGGATTTGCTTTTCCGCCAACTGCCTCTTCCTTACTTGGCAGGTTTCTGGATGAAGTTCAATCTCACTCAAATGTTAACAAGATGAGTGTCCAGAACCTGGCAACTGTTTTTGGACCTAATATACTTCGGCCACAGATAGAAGACCCAGTGACCATCATGGAAGGTAATGGGGGCATGTGCAACGTTCTGGGTGCCACTGGGGTCTGGGCTGACTTTGGTCCTGGGCCGGTCATCAGAACCATCACCCCAGGTCAGCTGGAGGGGTGGCTCTACCCCCTGGGGGCCTCCTAACGGGCTCTACCAACTCTCCTGCCCCCATGGGGTCTAGCTAAAAAACAATAAACTTCGCCCCATGGATGGTAACAGTAGGTCATCAGTGCAATTAGAATAGCAGAAGCTGAGGCATGGAAAAGGTCCGCGCCCTTGCCCTTGAATACACACAGATGTTTTTGCTTTACTTAAGTAATTTTCAATTAAGTAATTGTCACAGGCTGCTTCTGGATGTCAGAGCTTTGCAAACACTGGGGAGTATCTGTACTATAGTAAACAATAACAGTAAAATGATAAAAATAGAAGCTGCTTTCAATATGCCAGGGCCTCTACTAAGTGCTTTACTTGTATCACCTCATTTTAATCTTCACAAGCAGCCTAGACTGCAGTTACTGCCCCCATTTCACAGATGAGGCTAGGAGAGGCGAGGTGAGTCTGTCAGCGAGACTTATTAAAGGGCACGGGTGCAGGCTGGCCTGGAAATGAGAGCCCATGCTCAGAGGCCCCATGGAAGACTGCCCTACAGGAGTTAGTGTGAGTCTTGCCACTCATAGACAGAAAACTGACAACCAGTCTTGACTAAGGAGAGCAGAGGCTGAGCAAAACTCATGCAGGACAGATGCCAACTAGAGCCCACTACCCCTGGCACTAGGCGAGCTGAGGGCAGAGTTACCATTCCTTGCTGAGCATGACCTGGGGGAGATGTGGGGATGTAGGGGTGGGCTGTGGAGCTATTCTGGGCCCCCCAAGCTGAGGGAGTGTTCCCTGGGGGTGTGGTACTCTGTTCAGATCCCCCAGTCCTTAGCCTACCTGGCTGGGTTTCCCTCCCCAGGCCCCCAAGCTCCTGCCTGCCAGGTTACACAAATGCCCAAGGGTGAAAAATCACCCCATTTCTTTGCTGAGTTCCTGCTTCACCCAGTTTGCTGGCCTGCAGATTCCTTTATTTTTTCCAGGATTCTTAGGTACCTCTAGTGGGAGGGTCTGCCCAAGCACTCCACTCTCCTTATCACCTAGAGACCTCTAGGTCTCTGGTCTTTCATTGAGGAGGGGATGGGGCAGGTGACAGATATCGTGGTCCCCCACTGCCCACTTTTGCTGCTGACCCCACCTACAGCCTCAGGAACCAAGTGCCCTACAGACTCCACAGGCTGCATCTCAGGGGCAGTGGCCTAGAGAAGGAGGATCATGTGTGACTATGAGACTGTGACGGGGGCGGAGTGGGGGTCATACATATTGGGGGAGCTGTGTTTATATGCGTGTGTGTGATTGTGTGTAGGTGTGTGTGTTTGCCCTCATGTACTTATAAAGCATCTGTGTTTCCGGTCCCAGAGCCTTGTGCCTCTGAGAGTGTGGACAGTCAGGTACAGATATCATCAGCGGTATAGAGAGGTGACATGGGGCAGCCAAGAGGGCTTTGACACCCAGATGCTGGTTTGGGGCAGTCCCCGCTTGCCCCTTGCTCACCCCACAGCCTTAACTGTGCCTGCTTCCTCCCCGACCGAGCTGAACGGAGTGGGCTGGGAGGCACTGTACCTCTTCTGCGCTCCACGCTTCACATTTGTCCAAGGAATGGGATTCTTGGGCAAGAGCTTTCTGTCTTTGCCTTGATTTGAAGGGTGTAGTGGTCATCCTTTCCTTCAGGGTGGCTGATGACATGCTGTTGTTGAATCCTCTCTTGGGAGGTAGGCTGGTTCTGAGCTGCAGGCAGAGCCAGGCCCCATGGGTCAGGCTGGTTCTGAGCTGCAGGCAGAGCCAGGCACCAAGCTGTGGCGCCCCCTGACTGGTCTGCAGAGCCTGGACTAGAGACATCCACAGCCAGATCTTTCTCGTTCCATCTTCTTGGCAGGAACTTCCCTTGTCCAGCACCTGATGACAGTCCTGATCCGCAGACATGGCCAGCTCTTCACTGCGAGGGCCACGGAAGGGCCAGCCTCCCCTCATGGCGGCACCCCTTGCACGGTGGGATGGGGCTCTGAGGAGGTCACAAGGGACAGCCAGGCAGAGCCCAGCAGCCCTGGCACCCCTGGCCTGCCCTCGCACAGGACCTCTTCTCTGGATGGGGCCACTGTGGCAGCACTCTCTAGAAACTCTCCCCTCGGCCCTGCCACCAGCAGCTCTGGGAAGAGGATGCAGACTCTGCCTAACTGGAAGTCTTCTTTCCGGCAGTCAGGGTCCCGGTCAGGGAGCCTGAAGATGGGCAGCTCGTCCCTGGAGGTGCCCATTATCTCCTCTGGCGGGAACTGGCTCATGAATGGGCTGTCCTCCCTGCGTGGCCACCGCCGGGCCTCATCGGGAGACCGGCTCAAGGACTCAGGCTCCTCGCAGAGACTCTCCACCTATGACAACGTGCCTCCACCCAGCCTCTTCCCCAGCACTCCCAGCGTGGCCAGCATGGCATGGTCCGGGGCCTCTTCCTGCGAGGCCTCCGCCGGGGGCTCCATCAGCAGCTGCACAGCCTGCCGAGCCAGCGACTCCTCTGCCTGCAGCTCCCTGCACACCGAGGCAGGCCTGGAGCCCTCTCCCTTACCCAGCAGCAGCGAGGACCGCAGATCCCCTGATCTGGGCCACAGCCAGGACGAGGTGGGCACCTGCCTCAGTAGCAGTGAGCCCAGCAACCCGGGAAGCCCAGCCCAGGATCATGCCCGTCGCTCTGAGGCTCTCCAGGGCCTGGTCACAGAGCTCAGGGCGGAGCTGTGCCGGCAGAGGACTGAGTACGAGACAAGTGTGAAAAGGTAAAGGGCTGCAGCCGCTTGGCCAGTGTGAGGCCGCCACCCGCTCGGCCGAGCAGAACCTTGTGGCCAGCAGCTCACCGGGCACTGGCCTCAGAAAGTCAGCCCCCAGAAGCCACCTTTCTGAGAGAATGCTCCCAGGACAGGTTGGGGATGGAGGGGCAGGGGTCCTTATGTCTGGGAAACCTCCCGAGCAGCTGTCAGAGCTCCATGCATAGCTGCTGAAGGAATGAGTCAGAGTCACCGCCTGAGCTGCTCAGAGCACCTTTGATGGAGGGGCTCAGATTGGGGGGTCCCTGTGTTGTTCTCAGGGAGGAGGCAGGTCCCCTGGGTATGCATGAGTACAGTCTTGTAGCTCTGGGCCTGGGGATGTGCCCATGTGTAATGCACGTGGCTGGCTGACCATGGTCAAGCTTGACGTGGATTGAGGGCTCTTTCCCAGATGGGAATCCGATTTACTTTGAGGAGGGAGCTGACCATGCTGAGCCGAGCCGTCCCACCTGCCCTGGCCACAGGTGGAGGCTTTATGCCACATTCCGAGCCCTGCGAGCTTGCTCACAGATGGCCAGAGTTTGAGTCTCCCAGCCTCCCTGTGAGGACGGTGTTTCCAGCTCAGAGGGACTGGATTCTCCAATTAAGGTCACCAGCAGAGTTTGCACTGGACAGCATGCAGTGCTTCCATCAGCATCTCGGACTCCTTAACCCCTCTTGCCCAGCTGTCTGACCTATGAACCCAGTTTCCACCCACTCAGAGAGGGCTCGGTGGGTTCTCAGGGCTTCCCTTCTTCATCAGAGACAGTGGAGGTAGGAGTCTTGCTTCTAATTGTGAGCCTGGGATTTCCACAGGGAACTGGAATGGCAGTGTTTGGCCCTTTTGTTCTGGTGGCTGCCATGTTCTGGACACCCAGGGAGTGTCGTACATAGGGAGGCAATGTGTCAGGAGAAGGGCTTTAAGGGCAGAGGTCCCTGACATGAGGGAGGTCACAGCAGGCAAAGTCTGAGCCAGGACTGGAAGAGCCAATAGGGTCAAATTGAGCAAGGAGGAGAAAGGACACAGCATGAGGAAACCCCAAGGTACAAGATTGTGGAGAAACCTCATAGATGTAAGCTCCAGGTTTACTAGGCAGAGGTACAGAGGAAGGTGATTACTGCTGGAGCTAAGTGCCCAGACAAAAGCTATAGAATGCATGGGCAGCATTATCGTGGGGAGGCTGGCCTCAGCCTCACAGGATCTCGGAGTCAGCTTCACACTTGAGCTTCTAGTTCTTTCACCTTCTCAGAGGCTTAGTTTCTCTGAGTAAATGCAGTGTCGTTTCTTGGTGGGCTCCAGGTCAGACTCTCTGTGTTCGAGTCCCTGCCCCACCATGTATTAACCAAGTGTCAGGCAGGCTCTCTGACCCCATTATGTATTGACTGAGTGTCCATCTGGGCAGGCTCCCTGAGCCTGGGTGACCTCTTACATTTGCCATGAGGATTAAGTGACACAAGGAGTGGTGATGTTCAGCACATAGCCTGCCACATGCAGAGTGCTCAGGAAGCCTTCACTGCTCTTATTACCTCCTGCTTGGTGGGTTGGAGGTAAGATGTGGCCCCAGAGGCAAAGGGACAGCAGCAACAGCCCCTGTAGTGCTCTCCCTGGCAGAGTGGTGCCAACCATCATCCTGGTTGGAGGGGTGGTCTAGAGTGAGGAAGGTCTCTGAGCACAGGAGAAGGAATGGGGCCCCATTCAATGGGCCTTTGGGGAATATGTTTATACATATGGAATCAGCACTGGGTCTGGCCTGGGGTGGGGGCAGGGAGACCAGCTTATTGCCTTGTCTCCCTTGCTCCCTGATTCCTGCATTTTCAAAAGAAACACATGGAGTGTCTGTGATGTGTCAGACACTGTGCTAGATGCTGGGAACACAGCTATGACCCAAACTCATCAAAGTCTCTGCCCTCATTCTTATTTGGTGGTGATTGGGGGCACAAAGAGACCATAAACAAGGTAGATTTTAAAATGCATGTAGTATATCAGAGGGTGAGATAAAGAACAATAAAACTGTGTGGAGGGAAGGGAGCGGGGGATGGGGGGCGTTGAGGGGAGGAGAGGGTTGGAAGCTACTGCTTAAGGGAGAGGAGAACCAGAATCAGTGCTTCAGGCAGAGGGGAGAGCCAGAGCCACGCGAGGGATTGCAGTGGGGAGGGGCAGGAGCTGAGTGGGCAGGTGGAAGAAAGAGTGGGGGCAGGCAGAGTGGAGTATGAGAAGGGGAGGCCATAGGGTGGGGCCTTTTGGTCAGAGCCGTGCTCTGGATTTGATTCCCAGTGAGATTCTAAGTGGCCTGAGGGCCTTGAGCACTTGGGTCCCTTTGACAGGTGTACCTGGCTGCTGTGCTAAGGACAGCTTGACCAGTTAGGAGGCCACAGGAGCCCAGGCCAAACTGGGTGGCATGGGCCTAAGGGACAGCAGTTGAGATGGAGATAAGAGCAAGATTCTAAGCATATTTGGAAGGTTTTTTTAGTTGATTAGATGTCGGGGGTGGGGGTGTGAGAAAAAGAACTGACTGAAGGGCCAATGTTTTTATTTTGGCCGAGTAACTGAAAGGTGTTCACTGAGAGAGGAGATCAGTGCTCAGGAGTGGTGGCTGGGAGAAGAAGGATCAGGAGCTCGGCTGGGGGCCTGTGAAGTTGGAGATGCTCATTCAGTTTCTGAGTGGAGTCGAGGGAGATACAGGCTAAGGGTTGTTAGCATGTAGATGGTTCTTCGAGCCTGGAAACTGGGCAGGGTCACTCAAGGAGTGGCATGGAGAGGAGGAGAGGAGGCCCAGGCCCTGAGCTCAAGAGAACCAAGGGTGTGGGGAGGACCTGGCAAAGAGAGGCCTGGGACTGGAGGAGAAGCAGTGATGTGAGTCGTAGGGGCCGCTGCCATCTGCCTTGGGGGCCTTCTTTCTGACAGCATGCCTTGTGTTCCCTAGACGGAAGACGGGTGGAGGGGGGTTTTTCCCTTCTCTGTGCTTTGTGTTCAGTGACTGAGATAGAAGCCTAGCCTTGTCCTGGCTGGAGCAGGGAGTTGAAATTTGCTCCATATACACCGTGTGCCAGGCATCGATGGGTGCACATGTGGTCTTTGTCCATGGTAGCTGGAGTGCTCAAGGGAGATTGTCCCCTGCATTTTTCAGAAGAGGACACACTAGGTCTCAGGGGAGTTTGTGTCCTATTCATAGTCATGTGCCCTGTAAGTAGCTAGGCTGGTCCCCAGGGGCTGGGCTCGGCGCATCCTTATAGGAGCTGGTCATCTGGTTGGAAAGGTCGATATGTCAGCGTTTACCCTCCACAGAAGTGCATGGTGTGGCTCTGGTAGCATAAAGGAGCAATAATGTGATCTGCTGGGGAGGATCAAGAGAAGTTTCACAGAGGGCGAGACATTGAGCTGGGGCATGAAGGATGAGTAGGTATGAAAGTGACAACTGAATGGAGTTTCCATGGTTGCTATGTCTGGCTGGGACATGGGGTGGGGATGCAGTGGCAGGGGGATGTCAGGGGCAGGGGCGGTCAGCAGGAGAGATGCTAGAGCTCAAGAGTTCTCATAGCAGAGTGGAGGCAAGGGGACAATTTCCTGTTTTCCTCTCTGTGTGGGAACTGGTCCTGCTCTTTGCCAGCGGGGCAGTCCATCCCTCCACAGAACAGTTCACCGGGCCAGAGAACGTGGTCTTTATAGTTTAGCAAGGACTCAGGGAGCCCCAGCCCCGAGTGCTGAAGGCCCAAATCCTCACACTGGTGTTTCTGAATCACAGTCTAGGCCAGGTCTTCTGGGGGTGAAGTACTAGGGTCTTGTAAAGAGTAGACGAGGCCTGTACAGCTTCACCGAGAGCCCGACCTGAGTCCGCACACGTCCTGACTCTCCAGGCCCAGCCTGACTAGACCCTTCCCCCTATCATGGGTGCAGTAGGCATGCATCTGCCAAAAATGGAACTTGTTTGGTAAATCCAGTGAGCCAAAGTCTAAAACAGTGTCGTTTTCTTGTTTTTTAAGACTTGAGGAGGCTTCTGCTGACCTGAAGAAACGAATGTCATGGTTAGAGGAAGAACTGGATCAGGAAAAGAAGAAGTACACAATGCTGGAAATAAAGCTGAGGAACTCGGAGCGGGCACGGGAGGATGCTGAGAAGAGGAACCAGTTGCTGCAGAAGGAAATGGAAGAGTTTTTTTCAACCCTGGGAAGTCTGACTGTTGGGGCAAAAGGTGCTGGAGCCCCAAAGTAAAGGAGTGGAAGCGCTCACTTCTGCTGTGCTGCTTGCCTTCCCCTCAGCAGAAATGGCCCCTGGCCATGTGAGGAGCCAGAGGCCTGTGGCTTGGACCTAGGCCTCAGCAGTGCCAGGAGCTCTGGAGCCAGCTGGAGAGAGAAGTCCTGACATCCGGGGTGAGAGGGGTGGTACTGCTGGAAGCCTGAGCCACCTACGGGGTCTAGATGCTGCTGTAACTGTGCAGAGCCTGGCAGGTGTCAGAGAGGGCAGTCCCTCAGCCATTAAAACAGAGGCACCTGGGAACCTTTTGCATTCTTTATTAAATTTGCTCTGAAAGCATGATGCCTGACTCCTTCTTTATGGTCATGCAAAATGGAGGTTACCGAGTAACATCTACTGTTTTGCCATCAGGGTTGGGAGTCCTGAAGGTATCCCATGATTGGAATGCCATGGGGCCTTCAGTAGTGGGATGTGAAGTGACGCTCCCTGAGGAGCACCCAGAGGTTGTCATGGTCACTGAAGCTGGATTTATGCAAATCTGTGTGCTTTCAGCTCCATCATCCCTGTGCTCAAGGCAGGATGATTTTCCTCTCCTTTCCCCTTCTGAGCCACCTGGGCCTCTGCATCTGGCGTCTGTCCTGAAATTCCTCAGGCCTTCCACCATAACCTGCTTTCCTTTGCTTGGCCCTAGCTCTGCTCTCTGGCCAGAACCTATGAGAGCTTAGCATGGGGGCAGAACCTCTGCTTCTGCAACTTGGGCCTGTGCAGGGCGGCAAGGCATGTGTCTGAAGAAGAGGTGAGCCAGGGTGCTGGGAAGTACCTTCCAGGTGCCCACGCCTCAGGCTGTGCCCATCTCCCAGGCAGACTTCCCTTGAGCTAGTGCTAATCCCTCTCCCATGCCCATCCAACTTCCTACTTCAGTTCATCCTCAGACTTCAAAGCTCCAACTAGGGGAGATCTCTCGAGAAAGCTTTTCCCTGGCCACCACTACACAGTCCAGGCCTGTGCCAGACCTCAGGATGGGCTACTGGGGGCACCAAAGAAGTTGTCTCTGAGCAGAAGAGACTGGTCTCTGTGGCATAGGCAATGCCAGCATCAGTGACCCTTGCTCCTGCTCAGTGTCCTTACATAGCGCCTCTCATTACCTGGAGCAGTAACCTGCAGTGGTTTTTTGCGAGGAGTGAGGGTCAGTCAAATGCCCTAATTTCTGAGTGATATTTCTGGAGAAGTCATTGAGGCCCAACCACCCATCTACCTAGAGTCAGGTATAAACTACTGCACCAATGCTTTGAATGCCAGGGTCTCGGTGCTCCTGAGAAGTGTGGGCATCAGTGGTCAGAGTTCACTCTGGAAGCTCTGTGGAGGGGTTCAGCGGAAAACACCTACTCTCAGGCCCACGGCCATCACATCAGGGAATCTGGGTAACCAGATTTCCCAGAAGGTGAAATATTGCTCTCCCCTCTATCTCAAGGAAAAATATGAGGTGACTGATTTTTTCCAACAACCTAGTCAGGTAGGAATTGGCTCCACACGTCCCATTCAGAGGAAAAACAGGCTAACAGAAGGTAGGTGGGAACACTAGTGTATTTTTATGGTCCTGAGTCCCTTCACCACAGTCCTGGAATTCTGCTAACTTTGACCTGGAGATAAAATGCTACCAGGCTATCAAAGGAACAAAAGACTAAAGAGGTTTAACATAATGAAAGGGAGGTCATCTATTCTCTCTTAGCCACTAATACTGTCAAAGGCTCAGCTTATGGCCAAGTCCTTGGCCCAAACCAGCTCATGAGCCACATCTGCCACCTGCTGGCAAAGCTAGGATCAGCAAATGAGATTTTTCACTAAAAATTAATTGGCAATATTCAACAGATGTTCTATCCTCCAATTTCCATTTAACCAACACTCTCCATTCTGTCTGTAAAACATTCTGACTTCTGCTTGTGAAGCATGCTGAGCACTGAGGCTAATACCCCGTCCTCATCCACTTTGGTTCTCCCCAACTGAGTTACATGGACAAAACCTGTTCCCAAACCTGTGGATTCAAATTATAATTATTGTGTTGACATCAGTATTGACCTATTGTAATGAAATCATGTAATATTAAGTAAGTCAATGAATTATGAATGTGAAAAAGACGGGGAATTAATTTCTTAAAAACTTACCTGAATGCTTTAGAAAGACTCTGTAAAGGCAAGTTGCTAAAAATAATTGTCACATTAAGTATGGAATAATTGACTGTGTAACACTAAAAAACTGGTAAAAATCTAGGACTCTGATCTCAGATTACTTCAAAAGTGCTTTAACATTTGTTTGACCTTTTTTTTTTTTTTAACCCATTTCCTGACCTTCCCCTCTGCCCACGTGTGTAGCTGCCCAGGATCCCAGAGCGCAGGCTCTGTGCGACTCTGCAGCTAACCTGTGTGCACCCACCAGCCCTACGTGAGCCAATGAAATGAGCATTCTGCATTTGCCCTTGCTCATTCGTCAGGTTCTTATTCCTACGTTGTCTTTCTCCTGTTGTATCCTCAAGTCCTGGTTCCCCTGGGACTTCAGTATTCACAGTTCTCAGTTGCCACTTGTGCCGTCAGTGTCCTTTACAGCAAAACAATTTTATTGGTTCAGAATCCAATCCAGGATCCAGCGTTGCATTTAGTGGCCACTATTCATTAGCCTCCTCCTATCTGTGACCGTCCTCCAGGCTTTGTCTTTCATGACCTTGACATTTTTTGAATCTGTTTTTGTTGAATGTCCCTCGATTCAGATGTATCCGATGTTCTTGTCTGGATTTGGTGATGCATTTGTGCAGGGACCCCACAGAAGTGGTGCTGCGCCCCTCTTAGAGCTGATGACAAGCTTCATATGGTGTCTAATTGTCCCATTCCTGATGATGTAAACTTGACACTTGGTTTAGGTGAAGAAGTCTGCCAGGTTTCTTCATTGCATAGTTACTATTTTTCCTTTTAATTAATAACTTAGGGAGTTACTTTTATTGTATTTAAAAGCTTATATATTATCAATTATTTGCCCAAAACTATTTTTGGCATCTTTGAATTTTTTTTCCTTTTTTCAAAAAATTATTTTTCTGGGGTTATTAGGGGTGAATTGCTTCCTTGCCTCTTCCCACTTCCTTGGCTGTTTTACTCTAATCTCTGCAAAATTTGTGTTTGACTTTAAAGAACAAACTGGAAATTATAAGTCTCATACCAAAAACAAACAAAAAAGGAATTGGTTTATATTAAAAGACTGATAAATGAAGTACATTTTTAAAGAAATTAGAATACATTTTTAAGGGTGTGTGTGTGTGTGTGTGTGTGTGTGTGTGTGTGTGTGTGTGTGTGTGTGTGTGTGTGTGTGTGTGTGTGTGTGTGTGTGTGTGTGTGTGTGTGTGTGTGTGTGTGTGTGTGTGTGTGTGTGTGTGTGTGTGTGTGTGTGTGTGTGTGTGTGTGTGTGTGTGTGTGTGTGTGTGTGTGTGTGTGTGTGTGTGTGTGTGTGTGTGTAGAGAGAGAGAGAGAGAGACAGAGACAGACAGAGACAGAAACAGACAGACACAAAGATATTTCTTGTTTACGGGGCTGGCGAACTGAGTTCACTCCACATTGTGAAAGGACTTCAGAATGGAGTCCATGTGTCCACATTCCCTGGCCTGTGGGTAATGATGGAGCCAGTGACAATCACAACATATTTCACTGACTCCCCCTTTTTTCAAGCTGGATCTCAGTCCCCTGGAGAGTTCTCCCAATATCCTAAGTAATTCTGTCACAAAGGGACTTGTATAATATGAGCTCACAGCTTAGTAGATATGACAAGTTACCCACACCACTGCTGCCACATCTCCATACTCTTGTATCCACTAAGAACCACCACCTTTGCCAGAAATCACTGTCCTTCCTACCAGGTGTATCATTACTATTGCCATGGCTCACAAGCCCTAAAACAGTAGAGCCCATGAGGTGCCAAACTGTGTTGTGATCTGTGAGGAAACAGGAAGATAAAGCTGTAGAAAGCTTTTTGACATAGAGCAAAGTACTTGGGCTAGGGCCACAGCAGCTGTAAGACCTTGGGGAAATTAAGCTCTGTGGGTCTCAGTTCCGTGTCGAAAATGAGGATAACCCTGTGGAGTGGTGGTGGTCGTGCCACCGGTTCTAAGCGCCTTGCATGTATATCTTGGGTAGTCCTTAGGGTGTCAGTGACATGATTCTCTGCACTTTATAGCCAAGAATTTGGAAACATAGCGAAGTTAAAGGACCTGGCCTACAATCATACACAGTCAGTAGAGGAGTCAAGCTTCTGTACCAGGGAGTCTAACTTAAGAATCTATATTCTTAGATACTAGTCCACATTGAAGACAGACTGGCTTGGTATTTTGAAAACATTACCCCAATCATGCTCTGATGGAGGTTATGCAAAGATGAAAAATAAATGCTATCAGAGACCTCTAAATCAGAGGGCAGGGGAAAGGGAAGGCTCCCTGACAGAAGTGACACCTGAACACAGTTTTGTATGCTAATGTCTGTAGCTAGAGCAAAAAAAGGTGTGTATATTTGCAGGGTGCGGGGTTGGAGGGCTAGAGAAGGAGGCAACGATCCAGTCCTGGTGGGTGGGACATATGCTATTAACCTTTATGCTTTCAAACAGCACTTCCCCACTGCATATGATATCCACTGTAGAGATTCACAGGCTCTCCATTCATGTGGGGATAGAGAAGAACAAGACCATAGGTCATGGCTTACATTCTAGTGGAGGAAGAAAAATCATAAAGAAGTGTTAAAAACAAGACAAGAGTTAATTACAGTTTCAGCTCTCCTAGAAATGGAGTCTTAAACCAGTCAACCAGGAATCACCCAATCAGCACTAGTGAGGTAATCTGCCTGCTGGACCCTTGCATCCCCTAAAGGAAAGTGGCCTTGCAATGATCGAGCCTTTTTTTGCCAGTATAATTTCCTTGCTTCAGCTCCCATCTCCCTGAGTCTTTCATTTTGTACAGCTCCTCAGAGCTCCTTTCTATCCGATTGGATACTCCTTGATTCATGAATCACTGAATAAACCAATAGGATCCTTAAAATGTACTGTATTCAGCTGAATTGTATTAAAAAAAGAAGTAAACATAGACAAGATACACTCAGATTGTAATAAGTGCTCTGAAAAAGGTGATCTCAGGGGGCGTATTTTAGACAAGTTGGGCAGGAAGTCCTCTCTGAGGTGACATTTGAACTGAGACTGACAGGCAAGATGGCAGCCATGCAACCAGACAGCTGCAGGCAGAAAGGGAAGAGCTATAGAAGTCTGCATGGGTGCCAGGGTCCTTGATGGATGGTGAGAGATGGACAGGGCTGGAGCCAGGCAGGAGCCAGGCCCTGTAGGGCCCCTCACCCATGGTAAGGAGTTATTTGTATTCTAAGGTATAGAGGGAAGCATTCAAGGGCTTTAAATCAACAGACATTAACTGAAATTGGCATTTCAACAAGGCTCCTTTGCCCACTAGTGAAGAGTGGAAAAATTGGGGCTGGGGTGGTGGTAGGGAATAAAGCAGCTGCAGGGAAACTAGTCAGGGAGCATATTGCTAGTGTAGCAGAGTAACAGGCCAGAAACTAGACAGGAATAGACCAAAGACTTCTGAAGGGTGAAGATGGGAGGACATCATGCCCATGACCAGTTCCAGTGTGAATGGGAGCAGAGAAATAGGGTGATAACATGGAAGAGGCCAAGGGAGAGCTTTTTATACAGGTGAGAATTACTAGAGCATGTTTGTGTGCTAAGAATGATCCAGTAGAGAGGGGGAGACTAGTGATTAAAAAGAAAAAAAAAAAAAAAGAGGGCTTATAATAGTGAAAGAAGTCTGAAAAGACAAGGGGAAGAGCTGGCTTCTGAGAAGTGGGAAGGCAGAGACAGATACACAGTTGCAGGTGAGTTTATGGAAATGCATATTAAAGTCTTTGAGAAGTCCGGAAAAATGAACAGGCTTACCTTTGTAGCAGCCCCAAAGCTTGTGTGAACGCAAAATCCTTTTTTTACATAAAACTTTTCAGGCAATAGAGTATAGTGGTTACAAAGTGAAGACTGATTACTAGAGCATGTTTGTGTGCTAAGAATGATCCAGTAGAGAGGGGGAGACTAGTGATTAAAAAGAAAAAAAAAAAAAAAGAGTGCTTATAATAGTGAAAGAAGTCTGAAAAAAGACAAGGAAGAGCTGGCTTCTGAGAAGTGGGAAGGCAGAGACAGATACACAGTTGCAGGTGAGTTTATGGAAATGCATATTAAAGTCTTTGAGAAGTCCGGAAAAATGAACAGGCTTACCTTTGTAGCAGCCCCAAAGCTTGTGTGAACGCAAAATCCTTTTTTTACATAAAACTTTTCAGGCAATAGAGTATAGTGGTTACAAAGTGAAGACTGGAGCCAGATTCACAACTTGGCCCCACCATGTGTTGGTCTTGTAGCCCTGAGTTACTCAGCATCTCTGTTCCTCAGAGGTTTGATGACAAGATAAGAAAGGAGAGTAACAGTTCCTACCTCATAAAGTTGTAAAAACTCTGAGCTCATACAGTCAAAGCACTTAGTGCCTGGCATAGAGTGTTTTCAATATTATTACTAATTCAACACAGAACTATGTAACAAACTTGGAGAATTGCTTCTAGGTTTTGAGTCGTTGAAGGGTTTTAGGAAGGGCAAGGACATGATAATCACTCTGGCTGTAACGTGTGCCCCTCCTCCATTTCCTCATCCATGCCCTGCCTCCATTAGGGGTCTCCTGGTATCTTCCTTGTTCACTTCTCTCTTAGTAACAACCTGGAGCATGGCCTACCTCAATATTTGATGTACCCTGCCCCCCATTCGTCACCGCTCTCAGCAGAGAGTTAGGTATTTAGTTTTCTAAAGTAGCTGATGAGGAGGGGGCATGTCAAAATCATCTTGGGAAGCTTGTAAGAAGCCTATTCCCCTTGTGGTTCTAATTCTGTATCAGAAATCACCTTTTCCCTCTAACCCCTCCTGAGAAAACAGAGCCACAGTTTAGGCAACTAGTGTGAAGTGAAGATTCTATTTTAGGTATCTGGTAACAGAGCCCACGCTCACAGTACAATAATTTCATAGTGCTGTATGAAAGTTCCTTGGACCATATTTTGAGGGCCTTGAACACTGGCATTTCACAGGATAGAAACAGTGTAAAAGGTAGGTCCTTGTCATTAGTTCACCAGCCTAATATTTATTGAATGCCTATTTCCCAGGCGCTGTTAACCAGGAGTAATAAGACAGTTTCTTTTATTCAAGGATTCCACAGGGAAGCATCAGTAGAAGATAAGCACACAAGATGCCCTCACAGACAACATAAAGAAGCAGCCAACACTTTGCTGTCTTGCCTGTGAAACAAAGTGAGGAGTGAGTGAACAAAACAATGAAGTGAGCAAGCAAGCATGCAATGTATGGTATGTGAAAAAGAGTCACTGCAGAAAAGGTTATCAGAGGAGAAATTACTTGAACTGGGCCGTAAGCAATGAGGATTTAAAACAGGCAAATGTGGAGTAAACCACCAAAGTATGTGCGCAAAGATGTACAGAACATGTTATAGAGGTTCAGCTGGAACGAGCTGAATGGCAGGAATGACATGTGAAATCAACCCCAAACAAAATGTTTAACTGTTCTAATTCAATACTGACTTCGAGACATTTCTCTCCAGTGAGGAATCATTCTTACCAACCATATAAAGATTGGAACTATTGGGGATAGAGAAGATGATTTGGGGGTCAGAGTCTCTTAAGTGAGAACACACAGAATTTCTCATGTTCTCTTCAACATTTCTCCAAATCATAAACATCTATTCCTTTGCAAGGCAAAAATCAGCAATTACATTTGCTTTACTGATTATTTTTTTTGAAATACATGAAATCAATCATTACAGCAGCCCTGTGAGAGACTATCCGGCACCCTCAAATGACAGATGAAGCAGCACCAGGCTCCACAAAGTTGAAACTTGTCTGATTATGCAAACTCTCCATCTGGAGCTCAAGCTAACCTGGATCCATAGGATTCAGTAGATCCCTCTCTAGGACCTTGTCTCTCAAGGAACATGTGCTTTTAGTTCTCACTTAATCTTTCTGATCCTGGTCTCCCCTCGTTTTTTCTCAAGACGTTATCATAATTCTTTGTATTTCCTGCCAATGTTTAGGAAGTACTTTTTACTACTGCTTCACCACTCACTCAATCCTTAGCAATCCAAACTATGCCCCCACCTGTCCAGGTAGCTCTCTTAAAGTCTTACATATGT